GGGATGGGTTAGCCTGGTGATGGGTATTAAAGAGGGCACGTATTGAATGGAGCACTGGGTGTTATATGCATTGAATCATGGAACACTACATCAAAAACTAATGATGTAATGTATGGTGATTAACATAATAAAATATTAAAAAAAAAAAAAGATTCCAAATAGGTCACTTAGTAACTGGGAATGGTCAAATGTCAGCTCACCTGGAACACTACAAATAAACATAAAATAATCCCTGAGGCTTCCAGAAGCTTAGTTTGTGTTTTTGATATGCAGCATTTAAGACTAAATAGAGAAATATTTACACAGAAAAGACATAGGGAATTTTTTTCTTCACTAGATATATTTGTGTTGTATGCATAATTATATTCCAAAACTATAGAAGTGATCATGATTATGTGCAAATGATGGTCTTTAGCCCAACACTTTAAGGATTTAAGAGTCTGATAATTGATCTCCTCCAGAATGAAATAATGGTACAATTTTAGTTTAAGTTATTGTGGGTTTAAATATATAATAGTTAATGGACAGTCTATCAAGCACTCAATAAAATGCCTTATAACTTGTATGAATCATAATACACGCGATCTAATTTTTTAAACCTACTTTAAGTAATGATCTGAGGGCAAATTGTCCAAAGAATTGGGTTTTATTTTTTGTATTTGTTTTCAAGGTGCCCGCATTTGTTGTCCCCAAATGAGCAATCTCTTGGTTGGTCTCCAACTGGCTGGAAATTCAAATGGTTCTTCTGAAGATTTGACACTGCCTCTAGTATCATTTAATATTTTTTATGAACATCTTAACTACAAAATTGAGAGAATTAAACAATGAATGACACCAGGATGGCCAGACTGCTAACATCCCAGAAGAATGAACTAAAATTACAAGTGACCAAGGCCAATTACAGAAACGATCTACCCAAAACACAGAGAAGTTCAAGAGAAACTTAAAATTATACATTCTTACCTGCTTCATTGCACCTCCTCTTTGTGAAGGAATATGATAATCATCATTTTTATGACTTATTGCCTGTGGATTTATTTGCTGATGTTACCCACAGTCATAGTGGATAATAGTGTGCTTCCATATAAAGCACAGATCAAATATTCTGGTCAAAAATTTGAAGGGCACTCATTCATAGCAAAGCAAATCAGTAGGAATGTGGTTAAAACAGGATTAAATTCGGGGTGCCTTGGTGGCTCAGTTGGTTAAGTGGCCGACTCTTGGTTTCAGTTCAGGTCATGATCTCAGGGTCCTGAGTTCCAGCCTTGTCATGGGCTCCACACTCAAGGAGGAGTCGGCTTGAGGATTCCATCTCCATCTCCCTCTCCCTCTGCCCCTTCTCCAGCACACTCTCCCTCTCGCAAAATCATTTTAAAAATAGGATTAAATTCAGCAAAGAGTGATAGAAAAATACTAGTGGCTCAAACAAGATAGAGTTTATTTCTCGCTCAAACAAAATTTGAAAAGTGAGTTGCCCAGTACTAGAACAGCAACTCTGTGATGGTCAGAAACCCAGACTCCTGCGTCCGGTGGTTCCATACCTTCAACACGTGGCTTCTATTTACAGTTCCAGAAGTCTGCTCAACTTCCACCACCAAGTCTACATTCCAGGCGAAGAAAGAGAAAGGAACGGAAGCACATGCCTTCTCTTCTACATTGTTTTTTTCCGATGTGTTTGTGTGATAAAATATACATAACAGGGGCGCCTGGGTGGCTCAGTCGTCAAGCGTCTGCCTTGGGCTCAGGTCATGATCCCAGGGTCCTGGGATCGAGCCCCGCATCAGGCACCCTGCTCTGCGGGAAGCCTGCTTCTCCCTCTCCCACTCCCCCTGCTTGTGTTCCCTCTCTCTCTGTGTCTCTGTCAAAAAAATAAAATCTTTAAAAAAAGAAAAAATATACATAACAAAATTTACCATTCTAACCATTTTATGTGTACAGTCCAGTGGCATTAAGTACCTTCACACTGTTCTGCAACCATCACTCGCCATCCATTACTGTAACTTTTTCGTCATCCCAAACATTTCTACCTATTCATTAATAACTCCCCACATCCCATTCTCCCCTCAGCTCTTGATAACCTCTACTTTCGGTCTCTATGAATTGGACTACTTTAGGTAACTCAGGAGAGTGGAGTCATACAATATCTGTCCTTTTGTGTCTGGCTTATGTCACTTAGCATAATGTCTTCAAGGTTCATCCATGTTGTAGAATGTGTTAGAATTTCCTTCCTCTTTAAAGCTGAATAACATTCCACTTTTATGTATATGCCACAATTTGTTTATCCATTCATTTATCGAAGAACAACTGGGTTGCTTCAATCTTTTGGCTATTGTGAGTAATGCTGCTATAAACGTGTGTACAAATACGTGTTTGAGTCCCTGCTTTCAATTTTTGGGGGAATATATAATTATATATATTGTTATACATGTTATTATACTATTATATATGAGAATATACATACTATTACATAATATCTAGAAGTAGAATTGGAATTGTTAGGTCATATAATTCTATATTTAGTTTAGAAATTGGTATATTGTTTTTCATGGTGGCTGCACCATTTTACATTCCCATCAGTGATGCACAAGATATCCAGTATTTGTACATCCTTGATAACACTTGTTATTTTCTGTTTTGTTTAATAATAGCTGTTCTAATGGGTATGTTCTAGTATGTTATTGTGGTTTTAATTTGCATTTCCCTGATGATTAGTGATGTTAAACATCTTTCCATGTGCTTATTGGTTGTTTATATATCTTCTTTGGAGAAATGTCTTTTTTCGTCCTTTGTCTATTTTTTAAAATCAGGTTTTTTCTTTATCAGTTGTACAGGTTCTTTATATATTCTGGGTATTAATCACCCTCTCTCTTAAATGTTCCTTTCTGGAAATCACATAGGACATTTCTGTTTATATTTCTGGGGCTATAACTAGCTTCAAGTGAAGCTGGTAAATGTAGCCTATTTCAGGAGACCATGGACCTAGCTAAAAATCAGGTGTTTTATCATTCTGGAAGAAGAACAGATGTGGTGAGTGAGTAGTCTCTGCTAAAAAATTTACATTCAGGGCTTCTTGTTAATTAGGGGCTTTGTCTATAGAACTATTTGCTAAAAGGGGAGTACTAGTATCTTTCTTACAACCAATGTCTCAGGTTTCCTATAACTTTGGGATGACCATGTTTTTCTTCTGAATTTTGCCCTCTATTTTAAAAAGTAACAAAGACTATGTGCTTTATTTATATTATTAGATATTATATAGTACTATATTATATATTGTTATGTATATTTATGTTTTATATATGATATACACATACACATAAAATATTATATGTTATATATTTGTTATATATAAATGTATTTTACATTATTTTTATATTTAAAACATAGTTGTATAAATAGATAAATAAGGTCACCTAGGTTAGGGCTCTTCTGCATTAATAACCTATTTATTATTACTCTCAGGCTAATATATAGTTGATTTTACTCTAGGCTTTAGTTGAATTTTCTTTCAATTCCATCTGCATCCCTAAATGTCCAGAACTTTTAAAAAATTGTATTGAGGTGTAATTGACATATAACATATTAGTTTCAGGTACACAAAATGATTCGGTTATTTTTATATATTGCAAAATCATCACCACAATAAGTGTAGTTAACATCTGTCACCATAGTTACCAATTTTTTTCTTATGTTGAGGACTTTTAAGGATTTACTCTTTAAGCAAATTTCATATATGCGATACAGAACTTTTTTTCGATGGTGTCAGAGTTCCAAAGAATTTAGCCATGCAGTGTCCAAACTTTTTGCAAAAGTGTGGTTTTTTTTCTCATGAGCCTATTGCCTCCATACCTTGCAATGACAAAGTATTCATGTAGCTTGGCCATTTGAGTTAACAAGTAGCAAGTTTACAAATAATACACAAAGATGCATATTTTTGAATGAGTACTAGATCAGCATTCAGGAGAGTGGGGAAAAAAAGATGCTTAAATTAAGATCTAGCAACATTAATAATTGTTTATAAAGATTTTTTAAATTTTTATTTATTTATTTAACCCATCAGTAAAGGAGTAAATGCTAAGGGATCAGGGATACCATTGACAAGGAATCTATGTTCACTCTATTCCAGCATGTTCAAAGTATGTTTGGAAGACGAGGTCTCCTCTGGGAAAGAACTCATCCTAAAGGAATGCTTGGTCCAGGGCAGTAAGGGCTAGTCGCCAAAGGAAAGAGTGATTCTTATTAGAGCTTTCTGTTTTCCCATGGACTAATATCTGAACTCTGGGAAGATGAAGTTCCACCAACAGTGATAAAAAGGTAAAGAACCATTCACTAAAATAAGACGTTGGGTCAGAATGGCCTTACTGCCCACCTATATCAGATCTTGGCCAGAACTTCTATTTGGGGTGACTGCTGAGCCCACTGAAGCAAAGAAGGGACACAGGGCCAGAGCAGCAGGTAGGAGCAGCCCACATGTATGACAGAGAAGGCACAAAGAAAGGAAATCACAAGAAGGGAGGAAAACGTTGAGAGTCACATACAAGTTGAGGGCCAGCTCATCAGTGATCTTAGGACACCAAAAATGCCCTAAAAGAGAAGGGAAAACTGATAGAGCTTGGATCCTGGAATTACAGGTGTGGGGGCCAGAGATGTACCCTTATATTAGTCTCACTGTGGTACAAGGGCATCTCAAGCTGTGTGGCCCAGGGAGTGAGAGGTTCATAAGCATATGATCCCTAGGAGAGGGAGCTGGGGGAGAAGAGGGGAGAAGAGACATGAGTAACTTATATTTAAATAAAGATACTTTAGGGGCCCCTGGGTGGTTCAGTCTGTTGGGCGTCTGCCTTCGGCTCATGACCCCGTAATCCCTGGATCGAGCCCAGCATCAGGCTCCCTGCTCAGTGGGGAGTCGGCTTCTCCCTCTGCCCCTCCCCTTTTTCTCTCTCTCGGTCTCTCAAATAAATACAACCTTTAAAAAATAAATAAAATATAGATACTTTAAAGACTAAGATATTAATCCCATTTATTTTCAATATTCAAATCACGTTTTACCATGTGAAAATAGGACTTCATTTGAGGGCTTTACTTCTTTCACAAATCTGAGATGTCTGGCTAGAAAGGAATATGTGAACCATTTTCTATCTCACTCACCACAGGTATAGGTCATTTATCAACAACAACAAAATATCTTGTAAAAAAATTAAAGCAGCAAAAACATATAAGCTGTCTTAAAATAGAAAACCTGGTGGCAGAAGTACCCTCAATTTCTTTGGCACAATGAAGCTAGACGCAGCATCTGTACAGTCTGTTCATACACCCTTTTCATAGATGGCTTGTGAAACCAACACTCAGACTCACATGAGAGCCTCAGGGGAAGCCAGATTTCACACCTCCACCCTTCAAAGTTCTAACATAAGGGAGAAAATCTGATGTCATGTCATCTTTAAGAGACTTCGTGTAGAGAGAGGAGATGCTTGTCCCGGAATGTCCAATGCCTGCCAAGGGGCTTTGCTGGTGACATGTGTGTTCGTGAAGGAAAATGCCCAATCATGATGGTCTTCAGCCCTTTCAACAATGTATCTAAAGGCAACAATAGAGAGGAAAGACAATCCCTCTGGCTCTGTCATGAAACAAAGAACTTGCATCCCCAGAGACTCATCCTACTTCATAAATACTGTAAGGAGGCCACATGGAAGAGGAAGAGGACAATGAGCATAGAGTCCCTGACACCATTATGCTGCCATATGTCTGGCACAGGGGATCATAAAACTGAATGAGAGCAGTGTGGACCACTGAGCAGCACCCTCCCTCGGCTTTATGACTCACCCGCTCTTCATTTTCACCCAGTGAGGGCACTCATGTTCTTAATAAAATCCTTTGAAATCCTGACATAAGAAACACAAAACGTTATCATTGCTAAAATCCATAAAGTTCTCGGGGCTTCACCACAGAGGTCAGCTAAACCACGGAAGAGAAAAAACAATGGGCTCCTCACCTTATTCAAAGATAAGCACATAAAAATATCTGGCCTCAGAAAAATGGTCTCTCTTGTAAACAGGTTTTCTGGTCCTAACACAGACCTCACCTGCAGTTACCTAAATGCAACATGTTTCCCTCTGAGCGAGTGCCTGAGCCCAGACAAGGTCAAGCACACTCCATCTCAGGAGGCATTAGCTCGTGACTCCTTTTTAACAGCAACACTTTAGAAGTGACTGATATGCACACCCAGAGGTTCTTAATGGACCAGTTGCAATCACCACAATAGATGCTGTTTAAGGAGCTGTCTTTCATATTTGCTGTGCAAATCATTTCTGTAGATGTGTGGGTTTATTGATCTGAATAAACCATCCCTTGATGTAAAGAAGGTAAGATCTGTGTTAGTCATCGAATATTTCAATACCAATAAAGCCACACTTTGGAAAATTTGTTCCCTTTCAGACCTATTACTTCTTGTTTTGTTTGTGTGGTTGGTTTTGTTTTAGCTTTGAGTCCTTAAAACCTCTAACTATACAGTTAATACCATTTAGGGAAAAGGTCTCAACATTTCTCTTTTCATCTTCATAGCCTCTATTACAACGCTTGGTATAGGGAAGCCTGGGTGGCTCAGTCGGTTAAGCATCCGACTCTTGATTTCAGCTTGGTCATGATCTCAGGGTCATGAGATCGAGCCCTGCATGAGGTTCCTACCTAAGCGTGGAGCCTGCTTAAGATTCTCTCTCCCTATCCTCCACCCTCTCTCTCAATAACAAAAACAAACAACAAAGCTCAGTATGTAGCAGGTAGGTTAAATGAAGATTTATTGTGCTCCTGCATCCAACAGTTCACTATATATTCACTAGCTAACCTACCAGAAAGAAAGAACAATGAATAGAAAGGATCTGTATCAGTTTAAAAGTTCATTTCAAGCTGGTTGAAGTTAAATAGTGCAGTTTCCACTGTGGCATAATAATTGCAGGAAAATATTAAAGGGGGTACTGTGTAGATTATCTTTGCTTTTTATTCCTTTTCAGTGTCTTCACATACAATAGTTAATAATTTCTGGATGGATTTTGTCACACACAGTCAAAATATAAATTCCAAATTCAAGGCAATTCTTTTCCACTATGAAAAACTGTGTATGTGAGGAAAACACTTCATGTACCTTTGCCTTATCAAGGGAAATCAGAGGCATCCAACACGAAAGAAATGTCTTCTCATCTTACCCTTTCCACCCCCTCCCCTAGTTTTTTTTTTATGTCTGCTCTTCTTCTCCTTCTCCTTTTCTTTGATTGCTCATCAGCAAAACTACCTAATTAGGCACTTATAATTTTTAAAAAATATTAGGTATTCAACCAGTTAGTACTTCATGGGATGGTCCTAGGTGGCTGGGCAGGAAAAGGATTAGTGTTTAAAACTTGGGCAATAATAGCAATGGGCTAGTAAGCAATTCTGCATGATTATCATAGTGTTTATTACATATTTATTTTTATATTATTTCATACGAATAATCTCTGAGATGCTCCAGAATAACCTCATTATTAGGCATATATTCCTCACATGTGCATGTTGTCACTTTAAATTTTATTCACAAGCTTATATGAAGTATGTGGTGAATTTTCTGGCTACACAAAAGGCACATGATGAAACAGAAGTTTAAGGTTCTCTGAATATAATATGAAAGGAGTTAACTTAATGACAAATGGTTTCCTATAGTGAAGAGGGGTTGAGACCATTGTTACTTAAGAATTTTATCTGCTAGTTAACCAGCTAATTAATCAGAAAAGGGAAAGATCCATATGAATACTTGCTCTCTATAGTAGGTTTAATGAGAAGTTAGCAATAATGTGTCACAAATGACATAATAAAACTGAATTGATTTGCTTTCCAACATAATATTCCTTTACCTGATGTACCAAATTTCAATTGTTTACATTTTTGGTCTAGGAATAGTCATTATACTTTATATTAAGTCTATAAACTTGAGTACCAAGTTAGCAACGTTAGAACTTTAACTTATTTAGGTGTTAACAGACAAGAAAAAAACAGTTTTTATTTTTTAAAATCACCTAACAGCAAAAATTAAAATAATCACACACAGATGTAAACACCTAGCTTGTAAAAGCAATTCCTTGAATTGTTTTAAACTCATGTGCAATTTCTAACTTCCTCATATATCAGAAAGAACATATGCAAATATATCCAGTTTGGCATTTGCGGGAGAAAATCCCTTAGATGCAGAATTTCATTGGCTGCTCAGATAGGAAAGTCATTTTGGTTTTGCTTAAAAATTAACACATCCTCTTGCTGACATTTAAGACCAGTAATTGGCTGCAAAGTGCTCAGTGATGCTTTTAGATGAACTGTGGTATATATTTATACCAAATCTATCTATATATAGATATCTGTATATAGATTGATAATACAGAGAGATAACAGATTATATTAGAATGTAATTCTCTACTACATCATCCTGTTGCTGCATACCTTATGCCACCTTGGTATTATAGTGTATGTCATAATATACTATTGTAAATGACTGCCTTTTTTCTCTCTTAAAAACTTTGAGATGGTAAAATATGAACCAAACACCTTCTCCAAATCCTAATAAAACTAGTCCCTGGAGAGCAAAAGGACAGAAGGCCCAAGGAAGTTTTCTCACACAGATTTCACTCTTTTCATTACTGTAGATCATTGCATCGAGTTTTTATAGCAGCTATATGAGAGATCCAGCCAAATTTTAGTTATAAATTACAAAATATGAATTAAAAGGAAAGAGAAAGGTTGAGAGGAAAACACAGAATCCTAAAATACCTAAAATATATGTACTACTATGCAAGATGTTTTCTATTTTTACTAATAAATTAATTTCAGATTGTGGAATAGTTAAGGGCAAACATCCAGATAAAAGAAGCAGGCAGTAATTGGAGAATATATTATATTGTCTTTTTTCTCTTATCATCAAATTTTACCCCTATTATTCATCTCCCAAACATTTAGAAAGGATACAACGAGGGCGCCTGTGTGGCTCAGTTGGTTAAGCGACTGCCTTCGGCTCAGGTCATGATCCTGGAGTCCCGGGATCGAGTCCCGCATCGGGCTCCCTGCTCGGCAGGGAGTCTGC